AATGCCAGTACACGCCATTTTTATGTTCCATCCAGGAGCGTTGAAGTGGCTCATGAATATCGGCAGGATGGAAATAAATCAGTAAGGCAATGTCGCATTTCAGACGAAAAAAAGTGGTCAGCGATAAAATAGAAAACTCGAACCAGCCTAGTGCTAATGGAACCAGTTTCTCGACAAAAAAAAAAGGTTTACTCGATCAAAAAAGTGAAAACATACGATAAAGAGTTAAGAACCAGGCGTTACGAAGATTATCGCTGAACTAAGGATTCAAGAAATTACTGGCTGCATATTAGCTCCTAACAGTGAGAGCCATTTGTGACTCACACCTACACGCCCACCTTGGTTAACATCAATGAAGACCACAGCTGAGGAAAAAGTCAGGTGATTATCAGTTCCTCATAAAAGCCTCGTGCATTGGGACCTAATTTTTGACACAGCAGAGGTGACTGAAGATGCATTTGATTTATACAATCACTAACAGCGGCTTAGCGATGTAGCATGCCAGCGTTTTTTATCCTCCCACACAAGTCTCTCGCAACCCCGAGTGGATTAGTGGGAGAAAAGTTGGGATCGAGCCAAGCATCGATCCCTTGTTTATAGGAGGATATTTCTGAATCCAAATCATTTAGCTACACGGCTACCTCAGCTCGTACATCAATTGTGCCATATTGACTAGTCATCACTATTACAAAAATTAGATGAAAACCTCAAAAATTCAGAGCAAGAATCCTTGCTCCCACTAAAAAGGCCGGATTCTGCATCCAGTAACCTCAAATGATGCTCGATGGAATTGAATCCATGATGCATCCCTCAGAGATTAATCAGCGCCGGGAGATCGATTCATTTCATCCTTTTATACAACTGCTTTTCTTGGAAAGATTGTGAGATACGCGGAATCGTTTGAACGTAAAATTCGTCGATGATTGAATAAAAAAGACGTAACCGAAATTCTAAACGAAATTCTTTGTGATGCAAGTGAAAAAAGGGTTGTCAGTTCACAGCTGCTGATTTCCGCGAAAGCTGCAAAACAAACAGAAAAACAGATGTTTAGCTGACTCTTTCGAGATTGCCATTCGTTGTTGGAAGAGAAAAACTAGTTAGTTCGTCTCGTTCTACGTCCTCATCTTTCTTTTTCATTCTCTTGATTTTTAGGCGAAAAGAAAAACGAAGTAGTCAATTTGTATCGTAAAGAAGACAAACGCATGGAAATTGAAACAATAATTCGCTCTCAGTCGATAATATCAAAAGCTATCGAAACGCTTGAGGATCATAAATGGTATTCAAGTGGGAAACAGATATAGTATTCTAACATATTTTGTTAGATATTGAAAACAATCCACTTCCAACATTTACATGGCACATGAAATATAACAAAAAGATAAACGCACAACGTGCAGTTATTGTTTTGGAAATATGTACTTCGAATGGAACACTTGAAAGAACGATGACTGTGGGAGATGTTCATGTAAATATTGACCACATTTCACAATTGAGTAGTTCTTGAGGTGACAGAAGAGATTATGGATGTCGTAAAGTGTGCTGTTATTCACGATGTACTTCAATCGATATCGAACGACAATGAAAGAAGAATGAATGGGCGGAAGGGCAAGTGGGAAACATGAAAATAGAGAGAAAGAGCGAGAAAAGAGGAGGAATGGCCAGAAGAGGAACACGATGACGGTGATGACGATGGAAAACGATGATCCCAAAGAAATCACCGAACAACTATCCCGGCGCTACGAAGTCGGAGTCACTGAGCACATTAGTAAATTAGCGGTTTTCCTTTTCCAAAAACAATGATGATTCAATATGCCTGATAGTGATTTTTGAGCCACGCATGTTGTCTGTTGCAAGGCAACTTATGGAACCCGACACACGTATTTCGACCTTGACTAAATGATTACTCGAATAATTGGTCCAAGGAGAGGATAAAAAGTTAACAGAGTTGAGAAAGTAACTTTACTCCATAATCTCAACGATACAAAACAATCCTAGAGAGTATTTTTCCACTTTTTGAATTAGTTTACAACAAAGATTCTCACATGATGGTAACAAATCTAAGTGATTCGAATTTTTAACACAGATACGGTAAGCAATAGTCGACAAAAGTTCACAAAAAAGGTCTAGTCAGCTCTAATGAATACTATTTTAACGCTGTTGAACAAGACTATTTGTAGATTCTAGCAGCTTTTGTTCCAATATGATGTGATAGCATTTTTGAGTATTACAGAGTTCTGGTATGGCATTTATGAAGCTAGACGTACATTTCGGCTTTCTAGCAAGCCTCGTCAGCCAGCACGATGACTTTCGGTCCAATCTAGCCCCTACTACAACTAAAGGTTTCGGAGCTGAACATGTTACAGAGCACGTCGAGTGAAAGGTCACTTGACGTTAGCCGTGCTTCTAATGAGGCTTGCTAGAAAGTCGAAACGTACGTCTATCACTCAAGTGCCATACCACAACTCTAAAATGCATAAAATTTGCCATCAGATCATATTGAATTTCAAATGAGGTCTCAAAAACAGTTTAATAAAAGGGTGCTGCTTCTACTTCACTTGAACCACCAATCTCTCAAGTATCTCCATCCAATTATTATCAAAACAGGCTCACTTCACAGTGACGTAGCGATTAAATTTATTTAAGCGTCGATTGTAACGGTAAATTTTTTCTCGCATATAGGGAAAAGTTGGAAAGATTTTCGAGAAATTAGACAAATTCATAGATGTGAGCTCTCATACAAACATGTAAAGGCGAGAAAACGGCCACCGTTGCTCCTTGACTCGTTCGAGGCGGCAAAATTAATCGCTGCGCAGAAACGTGAATCGCACAGCGGCGCGCGATTTTCATTAGTTGATAGGGGATTTTTTACTCGTTTTGAGATAATATTTGGATTTCTCGCTTTACTTTGGAAGACCACGATTACACTACACGCTCATTTACTTTTGGAGCATGCGCAGTTCTCATGTGTGAATAAAAACGCTAAATTCCTTTGCAATTATATTGTCTGCATTCTGTCTTCTAGTAAGTTGCAAAGGAAATACGAACTAAATTTTCGAGTTTTGATCATTTTCATATCATACAATACCCCAAAGTAACCACAGGAATCGGAAATCAAGAAAACAATGGAATGCGGTCAGAAATTGTGGCACATACTATGTGCGATTTCGGCGCTACAGCCTTTGATGCTGAACATGCGGAGTAAATTCGCGTAATCTTCGTGAATTTTCGATTTCCTCAAGTGATTCATTGTACTTCGCTAGAGCTCCAATTTTTTCAATATGGCCGCGTGAAGGTGGCTGTAGCCCAGCATCAGAAAACCACACACCTCGTCGCCCAGTTGCTCGAATGGGTATCCCTCCTCCACTTTCACTGCTTAGATACATAGACTCCGTGGATTGCTACAAGAAGAGTCAGATGCTTTTGCGTAACGGAAGAACTCTGCATAAGAAATAGGGGCGTGTTCAGCAAAAATGCAGCTAAATGAATACTAAAGATTTCTAGAAAGCGACCTGCACACTTTTTGCTGTTTGTTGTTGTCCCTCGTGATATATTGTCTACTGAGGTGCGCCTTCGGGAGTAGTCGACCGAGAAAACAGCGAGTCGATTTGACCTTCTCAAGTCCCGCAGAGGGCGAACATTCGAGACTCCAGCCAATCTTGTGTTGTCTCCCAGTCTCATTAAGAGAACATCGATAAAGGGATAGCGGTGAGTGGCTATAGAAGGTGTCTTCACCAAGAACCCTATTCCTTGATGACGATTGGAGGTGTTTGAAAAAAGTAAGGCTTAGGTGAAAGAAATCGATCGACTTCTGAAAATTTGACATGCTCGGTATTTGGCAACTGATTGTATAACAAGCATATCTATGGCCATCGACCAACGATGAGTAGGTAAATACGGCAATAAATAATCACTCTCACAAGACAGGTGCGATAACAATGCGTAACAGAGTTGGAAATATGCTGGCTCCCAAATATGTCGTTTTCCACGAAAAAATATGGATTGTTGAGACGTATGGGGGCGTTCTTCTTATTAGGGATACCTATCGAATTCTCCCGGCAATATGCTGAAAAAGAGTGTAAAATGTAAAAGGAGTGCTGTGGAAAAACGAGCGTCGGTGATGCAACGGTTAGCATACGCTCCCGGAAAGAGTGAGATCTGGTTTTGAATCCCGGATGACGCAAATGTTTTTGCACAGCACTCCACATTATTGGGTATACTGTAACATCATACCACCTCAAATGGCGGTCAAATAAAAAGAATTCTGACTGAATTTGCTAATTATGGTGGCGATTAGGTGTAACGACGATCCATCTTTCATTATATGACTGCCAACAAAACGCGCTGTGAAGCGCGCGATTTTCCGCCATTCGATTGAGATTTTTGCCTCGTTTAAAAAGTAAAACCTAAGTTTTTTGAGCTGCTCTGATACTCCACGATTTTCTCTACATGGTCATATGTTTTTCGTGCATATTTAACTTTCGTGTACCATAAAAACTTCGAGCGCGAAATGTCAAGTTTCTTTCGCTCTTACAGCGTTCTACAATAACCTTTTGTAGAACCAATAAAAGCATCAAAATCCTGGAGATTTGGGCTATCGAATGATTAGTGAGAGTTTAGCGAAGAGCAATATACAAGCCCTGCCGAGTAGATAAATCAAACAGAGTGTGAAACATAGTTTCATTTTCACTGCTACAATGTAATAAAGAGACTTATTCAAAATTCAAACACTCTGTTGAAATTAGAGATTTGAGCTTTTGAGTGATTAGCAAGTGTCTAAGAGAAAAGATTTCCGCAGCGAGAAAGGTAGCTTTCCAAACAATCGCGTGCTTCAGGTGGTACACGTCGTACCTCAGTGGCTAAGAGATTATAGAGGAGATAGAATACAAAAACCACGCCAGTGATATTCACGTGATGAATGCATCTGTATAAAAAGCAAAAAAAAAATGTTTTCAATACACGTTCACTCTGCAGCAAGCTATGTAGCGATAGCAGGCAAAGCCTCGCTGGTGTAGTGGTAGCGCGAGCGCTTGCTTAGGGTGAGACGAGGGTTCATTTCCCGCCTGAAGAATTTGAAGCTTCGCAAGCCTCACTCGGCATCGTCGAGAAGGCGAACGATCCAGAACCAATACACAGCTTATTGTTGGTCGTTGTTTAAGAACACGAACGGAAAGGAAGCTTGTGTAGTTAACGCGCTCTAATCGCGTTTTACGCGACATCATCTCGGCGGAGATATGGATTTGAACAGTCGGTGAGGACGCCGCGGCACTTCGCAGACGCGTCAGCTGCGCGTCGGTCGGTTCTCTTCGGACGACGACGGGTTGATTTGGCTCCTTCTCGGAATTAAATCTATTTTTGAACTTTTCTAAAGATTTTCACATGAGCTGTCATCTCAATTCACTGTGCAAATTCTCAGCATCTCCTACATTCGATTCGTTTCCTCGCACATCTCCTCCAGAAACGTTTTCAAGTATATCGTTGACGAAGAATTTCTCCCGACTTTTCGTTTTTTTGTCGGTTTTTTCCATCTAATTAAGTTTTTCTTTTTACTGTCGTTTAGAGCAGTTTTTTGCGGTTCTTTTGATATATAACACTTGCACATTTGTTTTAAGATGGAGTTGATCCGAAAGCAAAAACGATTGTTAATGTGAGACGAGTATTGTCTGGGCTCGCACAATCCCATCTCAGAAACTAATGTATAAGTTTTATGTCGAAATAACCACAAGGGGCTGCTTTAAACGATATTAAAAAGACAAACTCAAATACATGGAGAAAAGCGACAAAAAACGGAAAAGTCGGGAAATTTCCTGCCAATCCCAATGTTTCACTTACTGCTTCGGCTCCTGCATGAGGATTACGTCTTCCTTATGAATCTATATGAACCTTTATAGTATGCTGATCGAGGCCATTCTCCTTCAAGTTTTGGAGACACCTCAACTAAGAAATTCGTTGATTGATAGCAAAATAGTGTCTGAGGGGGGAGGGATCGAACCAGCGCCTCGCTTCGTGATGCACTGCATAACGAACTGCGTTCTTGCGTGGGATCCTTTTTGATAGCTTCTTTTTTTATTCGAAGGGAAACAATGCGCATTTGGGTTAGTCCATTGTGACGTGGCAAATATTTAGTGATAGCCAAGCATCCTGACACCTAGTGTTTTCATTATATTCCTTTACGGGCACTTCAGAGGACTTCGCTGAACAAAGCCTTTAGTCAGAAATCAGGTGGTAATTCGAAAGCCTAAATCTCGCGGATTCCGACCCTTTACCTGGTTTCTGAGAAGTCTTTTATATCACGCTGTAACAGCAAAAATAAAATCATGTTTCACACTCGGTTTGCTTATCCGTTCCGCTAAAGACTGTGGATCGTCTTCTATCGAACTCTACTGAGCTCATTCTATGGCCCAAATCTCGACAGATTTGAAGCCAAACTGGTTCTCGAAAAAGTTTCATAGCGCACTGTGAGAGCGAAAAGAAAATTACGTTCCGCATTCGAAATTTTATTTGCTTATAAGAGTTTTATAGTTTTATATGCACAAAAAGTACACAGACTTTTGGAGAAAAATCAAGTTTTATCAGAGTGATAAAAGAAGCTACAGCATTTCCCAAAACGAAGCGGAAATCTTTGTTGAAGAACGAAAATCCCGCGCCATTGGCCATATCGAATATGCTGCTTTTTTGCAAAGGGTTATTTATTTCGTCAAGGAGTTATTAACTTCTGTTGTACAGCAGAGTTTAGAGTGATGTGAAGGAGTGTGCTATATTGTTTGCTTCAGAGGATCGGCTTATCTTTCTGATCTACCAGTAATGTCTCATAGCTGTAGTGCTGGCAAAATTTTGGACCATCTGTCAGATAAGTAGAGGAGCCCTAAGTGCATTTCAGTCAAGAAAACAGCTTCCGAATACCTAAAAGAGTTGAGTAGTAGGAAAAGATCCGACCATAGCGGGAGTTGAATCCGCGTTTCACCCATACCGGGGCCGCCTGCTACCACTACACTACCGAGGCCACCGCTTACTCATCACTCCTTCATGATCTCTTATTATAGCGATCACAACCAACCTTTAACTCGTTTGATCGGGTAAACAATATTGCTCTATAAACCCAATTAAGCTGCAGCATTGTATATCAATTCCTCGCTGATGTAGTGGTAGCACCCCCCCCCCCCCCCGTATGGGTGAAACGCGGTTCAACTCCCGTCTGAGGTTGGATTTTTGCCTGCCACTCAATAGTCATAGGTATACTTGAAACATCATAGCACTGCGAAGAAGCAATCGAAACATAAGCATCTTGGATTTATATAGAAACAGCTTCAACTGACGATTTCTTTGAGGGAAACTTAACTTCTTCGTTTCCGACTTTTTGATGGCTTCATCCTCCATATTGCTTCTAATCTCAATCACTGTTTTGCCCCATCACTTTTGATTCACGTTTGAAATTTAGACAATAGTGATTTTTCAAAGACATGAAGTTTCCCTTCTTCATTGTATCCATTTCCAGGTAACTCAGGTCTCTCACTGCGATATTCAAGAATGAGTGAAAGCGATGATAGTGACTTCTTTATTGATGATTCCCCTAAGAACAAGGCGCCATCGAAAAAGGGGACCGTGCAGAGAAGAAGGTCCCGACTAAACCCAAAGCGCCCAAAGATAAACAGGAAAAAATCGGTACGCCTGTGTTAGAAATCTCACTACGATTCAATTTGAAATAAGGAATTGTCTGCAAGCAATTGTTTTTTTTTTTACAGCCGATATTTCCATGACTTTGACCGAAGAAGACAAAAATGTCTTCACAAATATTGACCAGGCATCGAAGTCGGGAAAGAAGTTGGCAATCGAGGATATCTACCAAAAAAAGTCGCAACTTGAGGCACATTCTTCTTCGGCCTGATACCTACATCGGATCTGTTGAGTATACGGAAAAAACGGTTAATTTATTATTTTTGCTCATTTGCGATAACCTTTCAGAATCCTAGAGGAAAAGCGTAGACTTTATTTTTCATTATTTCAGTCAATGTGGATTTACGACCGAGACGAAGAGAAGCTCGTTATGAAGGACATCCAATATGTTCCTGGACTGTACAAGATTTTTGACGAAATACTTGTGAATGCAGCTGATAATAAGCAACGCGACCCAAAGATGAACTGTATCAAAATCAACATCGATAAGTCAGTGTTGAAAACTTTATTTTTGTCGTATGTTGCGTTATAGGGTCTTATTCAACTGCAAAATAAGTGGACCACATATCATCAAAATCGAAAGCTTTCAGTCTCCTCTGTCGCTCACCAGTGCCAAACCTTTTTCGTGTAGTGCCATACCGAATTTGCGAATTGAGACCTTTAGTTTTAATTTTTGGACGAAGCTTCCTACGAGTAACTCACTGGATTCTACTTGTTTGTTACTTTTCATCAATTGAAGTTCTGTTTCTCTGTCGGTCATACCAGCTTCTCGCGGTAATTTTGATATACGACACTTATACATTTGTATTGAGATGGAATTATATCGAGAGCAAAAACGATTATCAATGCTACACGACTGTCGTTGGGATCAAGTGCTGCTTTGGTACCAACGATACTCGTGTAGCGTCAAGAACTGTCTTCGCTCTTTGGACAGTTCCATCTCAAAGCAAATGTATAAGTGTCATATATGGGAACAACCGCAAGAAGCTGCTGTAAATGATAGTAAAAGCAAAAGCTAAAATGCACGATAAATAAATTAGCGAAGGCGAAAAAGTCCAGAAAGTATTTTTGCCGACCCATTATTTCAAATCTTTTCTGTTACCTTCCCTTGTTCTTTGTGGATCGAATCAAGTGATTGGTTTGATCTTAAGTTCACCGACTAGGTAGTGTTCACTACAGACACAGAAAGGTGCTCTGCCTGTTAATGTAATGACTCCTGCACGTTGGATGATTGTAGCTACTCATGCAATCGCCTTTCTGTTGTTTGGGCGCATTTTTAGGGTCTATGTTATTTCTTCGCACTCATTTGAGTGCAAGTTTGAGGCCGAATTAACTTATAGACTTCAGTACGCCTGTATAAGCATTTACATGAACGTCGCGATTTGTATGTGGCAGAAATAAGTCTACAACACCACAGAGTGATGCATATCCTCTTCAGTACATCGATATCTCAGACACTTCTTAGTGGTCTCTGTTGCACCCTCTTACTAACCTGGAGACGAGGGGCGTGACTAGATTGGAATCTGTGGTGAAGAGTAATGTGCAAAAACCTCTGCGTCGGCTGGGATTCGAACCCACATTTCAGCATATCCGGTGGCGCGTGCTGAGCCGTTGCACTATCGACGCTGTTTTTTAACACCACTCCTTCTCCGCTACAACGCCTTTATCTGTCTGCGGCCAACCATCAACGGTCTGGTTGGGTGATCGCTATCGGCACTGAACCCACTGATGCTGACAGATATTGGGTATCGATAACAAATCAGAATTTTTTTATTTGACCGCCTTTAACAGTGGTATGATGTCGTAATATACTCAGTGGTGAAGAGTGATGTTCAAAAACTTTTGCGTCAGCTGGTATTCGAACCCACATTTCACCCTAACCGGAGGCGCGTGCTGAGCTGTTGGACTACTGACCCCCATTTTTCATACCACTCTTTCTACGCTACAATCAATCTTTATCACTGGGTATATTGTATCAACATACCACCGCTAAAGGCGGTCAAATTAAAATTTTAAAAGATCGGCATCGTTTACGTGCGTAGTACACTCTGTTCATTTTCTAGTGGCACGAGTAATAGGAAATATATTGTAGAGAATGTTTAGAGAGAAGAATCAGATCTCGATATTCAATAATGGGAAAGGAATTCCTGTTGTTCATCATAAAGTTGAAAACATGTATGTGCCAGAGATGATTTTTGGAACTCTGCTAACGTCGTCCAATTATGATGACAGTGAAAGAAAGGTGAGTAAATTCTGAATAAGTCTCACTTTAGAGCATTGCTTCGCTAGGAATATGAATTAGTTAATGTTTTGTTAAGGTGACAGGTGGTCGTAACGGTTATGGTGCAAAGCTGTGCAATATTTTCTCAACCGAATTCACCCTCGAAACGTCATCAAAGGAATACGGAAAGGCTTTCAAGCAGGTAAGGATCAATTTTATCAATAGCTATGCTTAAAATTTTTATGTTGGTGTTTCTTCTAGACATGGATCAACAATATGACCAAGGACAAAAGATCCACAAATCGTCAAGGCTTCAGGCGATGACTATACCAAAGTAATGTCAAAAACCTTGTTTGTGGTTTTTTTTTTTCAAATGTGAGGAATGATGTTTGTTTCTCAGGTGACGTTCAAACCTGATCTGTCCAAATTCCGAATGAAAGAGCTGGACGATGACATTATCGGTCTAATGTCTCGTCGTGCATATGACGTTGCTGGCAGTACTAGAGGTGTAAAAGTATTTCTCAATGGAAAAGTTTTACCTGTAAGTTTCCTGTTTTCATCGCCATTTTCGTGACCAAATGTTCATGTTACAACTACTTCGTAAGAGTGAACCTCTTTTGACAAGAATTATTTACACCATTCCCAACTTATTTTCTCAAGAACGCACCAATTACTTGACGAATCGTGCTTGGCAATCTCACATAGGTGCCGGTAGAAGGAGCGTGTGGCGCAGTAGTTAGAGGTGCTTTGCGAGCACACATGGTTGACGGTTCGGCCGCACTCTCTAGTCTTATTAGCCTTTACATGCCTCCAGGTTGACATTTCAGTACCGCACTTGTCTGGACGGACAGTAGTGCTGACCTGATGCATTGGTAGGCTACCGCGAGTCGATCTAGAGACTGCATATGCATCCAGTTATTTCACACGAAACTTGGAGAAATTGAATACCCGATGCATTTTTCAGGGATTCATCAATACCGAGAGCTTCATCCTTCCCATCTATCTACGTATGTGATTATTCGATCTTTTAGGTACAAGGCTTCAAACAGTATGTCGAACAGTACACTAAGGATATCACAGGACCAACCGGAGAGCCGGCTAAGATTGTTTATGAATCAGTGAGTTTTCTGTTTACATTTTGCAGGTAATTTTATAGTGTTGATACCTGAGGTTCCCTACATTGTTTTCCCGTACAATTTTGTCTGTCAATGCATTATAGCTTTCAAATTCTCAACACTCATTTCATTTCCGTTGTTAACATTAAGGATATTCTCTTTTAAGGTGAATGATCGTTGGGAAGTTGCCCTCACCGTATCTGAGAAGGGCTTTCAACAAGTGTCATTCGTCAATAGTATTGCTACTATGAAAGTGAGTGCATTGTATTAGTTGAGGTGACAAAGTGTAGAAATGGAGAAACATCGTATCCAAGTTCGATACGTAAAGTCAATGCACCTCATCAAAATTTCTGAATCATACAAACTGATCAAGTCGTGGAGAGAAATAGGAGAGAAGAGAGAGAGAGAGAGAGAGAGTTTCACGAGTATTGTGTCCGGGTTCGACAAGCATGCTCATTCAGCGGAACTGGTGGAACTTGTTAGATTTCGTTTTTGACCGATTTTAGGGAGGTCGTCATGTGGATTATGTTGCGGATCAGATGGTCTCAAAATTAATTGACGTTATAAAGAAAAAAGTCGGGAAGAGTACTGTGAATGTGAAACCATTCCAAGTAAGATTTGCACCTAATGTAATTTTTTTTCGTCTTTTAGTTGTATGTCGGTATTTTGAGGTGAAAAACCACATGTGGGTGTTTGTAAATTGCTTGATCGAGAATCCGACGTTCGATTCACAAACGAAAGAGACGATGACCCTGCAGTCAAAATCGTTTGGATCGAAATGTGAACTGAGTGAAAAGTTCACCAAACAGGTATGGCTTTGCTCTCGACAGATTTTGGCTAATATAGCACTCTGTGGTGTTTTTTCCGAGCAAAATCATGTAAACCGCCCAGCTCAATAATTGTGACGTCTCTAGGCGATTACCTGTGGTGTTGTGGATGCTGTGCTTGCATGGGTAAGATTCAAGCAACAGGAAGATATGAACAAGAAGTGCAGTGGAAAGAAGACCACAAAACTGAAGGTAATAGCGAAATATTGTTGTCAATAAGGACATGATGCTTGAAGTGACAGTAGTGAATATGTGATTGCGGTAAAATTCTGCAGTGTTTCAGGGCATTCCAAAGTTAGAAGATGCCAATGACGCCGGTACGAAAAACTCGCAACTCTGCACATTGATACTCACCGAGGGGGATTCGGCTAAAACTTTGGCTGTTTCTGGCCTAGGTGTGGTAGGGCGTGATCGTTATGGAGTATTTCCACTTCGTGGTAAACTACTTAATGTTCGCGAAGGAAACATCAAACAGGTTGCGTATGCTTCGAAATTTCATTACGGTTCTTTCTGATTAGGAGGGAACAAATGGAAAAGCCGATTTAATTCGTTGGAGGTGAACTTTTCATAAGAATGTTAGTAACCATCTGAAAGCTGAGACTTGTGGCTACAGCCCCACGTCGCCGGTTTTTCAAAATACTCCCTTACAATATTGTAACATTCGAAATAAAATCATGTCTCTCTAAACCTCATGTTTTTTCCTATCTCGCTTCTGTTTCGCTAGGCAAAACTTCTTCTATAGAGTACTAGTACTCAAACTATAGCATAAGCTTCAAAGAAGTTGAAAACATTTCGATTTTTGGAAGGCTCTTCTGATCTTCTGATCTCCTCTGATCTTTTATCTGTACTTTGAACCTCGCCGACGGAGCTCTTTTTTATACTAATAGTAATCGTGGCGCAATGTCTCCTGATTCTAGCGATAAGCTTATTTTATGGAAATACGGTTTGGCAGGGAAAATAAGATGGAGTTTTACATTTCTGGCAATTTGTCTACTGTCCATTCGACAAGGCGAAGGCCGTGACAGGGGATGACACGGGCTGGGCGAGGCGGAACGATCGACATTTTGTTATTCAATTGGGATTTTTTCTTCCGCTTTGAAAGAAACTCCAGATAAAGTGATGACAAAGATACTAAGAAAATATTTCTATGTATTGATGTGCTTTTCGGCTTCCAGTGAATTATACTCGCGACCAAAAATGAAGGCGAAAGACGAACGAGTGTAAAGCATAATTTTTGATCTGGATGCTACAGCGCTATAAAGGGATGTTTCGAAAAATCGATGACTAGGGGCTGTAGTCTCGAGTCTCAGCTTTCGAATATTTACTGACTCCTATGAAAGGTTCCTCTCCAGCGAATAGAGTAGGATTCTTATTTGTTCCCTCTTAATGGGAAAGAAACTTCATTATATTTTCTTCACCATATTGATATTGAATGTTGCCCTCACGATCGTGAGAGATGATGATTTTCTCTGAATTGTGCTTCAGGTGGCTGAGAATGCCGAAGTCAATGCTCTCATAAAGATAATCGGGCTGCAATACAAAAGAAGTATGAAACAGAAGAGGATTTCAAGTCATTGCGTTATGGAAAAGTTATGGTGATGGCTGATCAGGTTAGCTCAATGGCTCCCGCAATGGTCGTTCAACATCTGCTCTTTATAGTAGGAACTTTACAGTGAGGAGTGTCCATTACCATTTGAAATAGTCAATTGGTCAATGATGATTGTCGTATTCGTAGTATGAATTTTCCGGTCACATTTGTTTCCGTATCAACAAGAGTATCAAGATCGGGATTGAGACTGTGATCACAAAAAAATGAACTCCGCTTTAGAAATGTTGCGTAAAGGGTGATCGCAATGTATAAAGGCGCGGAGTAACAGAAAGATTTCAGTATATAAAAGATTCTCAATGATTACGAAAAGGCGAATCTGAGACCAATAATCTTAATTGAACAGTCATATCAGTAAGGAGTCATGTCACATGTAGTTTCCAATGTATAAGTTATATTTATAGAATTGATGGTAATTTATTAGAACCAGTTATTTTACGCTTAGATCATTTTTTCGAAGATTAACATTCCAGGACCAAGACGGTTCCCATATTAAAGGATTAGTGATCAACTTCATACACTATAATTGGCCGAGTCTTATCCAAAGAAATTTTGTTGAAGAGTTTATCACTCCTATCGTAAAGGTGGGTGGCGGTGTGTTTTCAAAAAAAAAAAACGCTTCTTTAAATGAAATATTCAGGCTACAAAAGGGAAAGAAGAGCTTCCCTTCTTTTCTATCCCTGAATATAATGAGTGGAGGAATAATACGGAAAATTGGAAAACATATAAGATCAAATACTACAAAGGATTGGGTAAAATTAGTGTCCTGGATAGGCTTTGTATTACTGCAGAGAATTCATCTGCACTCTAGGTACATCTACGTCTAAGGAGGCAAAAGAGTATTTCTCTGATATGGT